ACTGCGATTGGCTAAATGTGTGATGATGCAATCATTCGAGAGAGCATATGCTATCATTCGTGCCATAAGATCTGATACGTCATTATTTGTGCCGCAAAATGCCCAATTATAAACGATTTTTTGCAACAGAAAAGGTTTATAATGCTAGTATACAAAAAAGGATATTCAGTATTGTCCGTTTCAGTATCTGATACCATCCATGTAATCTTTCCTTTATGGATTGGCGTTTTCCCTTTATTTTGCTTAAAAATAAATATGTAAATAAATTGGACGAGTAAAATGACATGAGGCTGAAAATGAGTAACATTGATATTGATTATCGACGTTCATTTGTGCAAAACAGCATTTTTAAAGTTTTTGCTAAAACAATTTATCATTCATATATATCATTTTTATAACAACTCATTTAATTTGTAATATTAAGCATCTTATTCAAAATGTATTACAGTATTTTCGTTCAAACTTTTCCAGAGATGTTAAGTGGTACGTAAAGGTCTGAAAAACGTTGACTTCCCAGCCCTGCTTACTATACAAAACGGAGGAAAAATAACTTTCGTACGTCTGTGACCTCGACTCTCACAGACGCAGGGCGAAAACCCTGAGATGTCGATGCCACTCGTCCGTGGGAAGAGATCACCCCTTCATGTGGGACCACCGTTTTGGAAGGCGACGGGCGCCAAACATTCTCAACATTGATCAGAATATAGAGTTCCAAAGCTCAGATTGCTGTGCGTAAGTGGGGTTCTCGTATCTTTTCATTGTCTTAGTATTAGTGGAAAACCTTTTTTCATTAATTTTATTATTCTGTTGTTGGCAAGAATGCCTAGCGATTCTCCCAATAAAAGACGTTTGCCAAATAAAGGCCAATGGTGGAAAAATATAACATTTCAAATGCTATCAAAGAAGCGTGTTGCAACAGGTTGTTCGAAAATAACCATTTACAAGCTTTCGAGAGGAATCTGCGAAGCCATTTGGATAACACCAGGTAAAATAGAAGTCATAGCAAGACAATAAAAGTTCCAGGCAGTACACATTCAATCAATACGTAAAACCTGAAATTTGGCGAATAGTTCATGCCTCTTTTTTTTTTAAAATTACACCCCAATTCAAATTCAATTTTGAACGTAAGTAATGCTAATATATTTGCCTTAACTTATCAAGATCCACTTTGCATAGTATCTTGAAGGATATCGTTTTGTTTTACGAAAGAAGAGGAAAGATGGCAATGTTGATGGAAAGGGGGCGACATTATTTGCTAGAGACAAATATTTTGAGAGCTATTAGAAAATTTCGGAAAGAAGGCATAACTATTATTTATACTGACGAGTTGTGGATTATGCTGGACACAGTGTTCATAAAGCTTGGCGAGATACTGAAATTAACACCTCGCCAAGCTTTTCTGGCGGATTTGAGTGTTGGTCTCAAGTCATCGACGTCCAAGGGTCCTCCTTTCGCCTTGTTACGTGCTGAAAGCACAGGGATTTTTAGTTAGAGAAGAAAAAAATTTTAGTTGGTAATGTAGTACAAAAAAGAGACAACGCTCCGTATCATCCAGAAAATGCGAGGCTTTGCAGCGAGCAAGTGGAAGAAAAGGAGATAACTCCATACAAAGTAATGGCTAACAGGAGAAAAACATTTCTCATGAATAAGGTCTTTTTAAAGCGAGTTTTACTATCCATTGTCCAAAAAGAGAACCAAAATACGAAGAATTTAAAATTTGTTGAAATTGCATAGGCAAGTGGATATGAAGTATTACGGTTACCTCCTTACCACTGTGAGCTCCACCCCGTTGAAATGGAATGGGCACAGTGAAACATTACGTAGCAATGAGGAATACTTATGGCTGTCGTCCATAAGCGCTGTACTACAATCAAATGCTTGGACGCTCTGTAGATCAGCCCCTCTTTTACGGCTTTTTTTTTCTCCTTTTTAAAAAATTTGTTGCGTCTAAATTGACGCAACACGTCTCCAAGCCCCGGGGGGCGTTGAGCGCTTTGCGCTTTAGAAGTAATCCTCCATTAAGATCAGCACGGGAGTAACTCTACATTAATATTTCAATATGACACATGCGTCACAGTCAGATGTTAAGAGGACCGCCAAGTAGCATAATCGCGTGTGCGCTTCCTACTACGCGCCCCTGCATCACTACTCAGTGGCCAGAATTGGGATTGGGGTAGGTTAGGGTACTTCACAGGGGTTGGACTTGCATGTAATTCGTTCTGTCGTAACAAATTTCACGTGGGGTTCTACAGGAATTAATGTCATTTCTGGCAAAGAATCCGGAACCTCTGTGGTGAAAGGCAAGCGACTTCGCCACTGAGCCACGAGTGCACGGACTCTTCACGTTTGTCTCTCTACTTCCAGTAAGTTCAAATAGTATAGGTGTTGTGGTGCGTTATCGTAGGCATTTTTCATGAAATAATTATAAACGTTGTCATTGCCAACAATAGTGTTGGCAATGACAACGTTTATAATTATTTCAAGTTTAAAGAGCGTGAATTCCACTGTTGGGCAGGTGTTTTTGAACAGGTGTTATACACGTGCTTTTTTTTCTTCGGAGAATAAGAATAAGTACATTCGATTGATATCTTTGTTCCTTATTGTTTCCTAAGCAAGAAGATAGATTAAAACAATGTGCACGGACGTGCGTTTATCAATGATAAACAGCGTAGTACTCAAATTACATGGTATCACCTGAAGTTGATTGTGTGGAAAACGTTGGATACAGACCAGGTTAATCAACCTTTTGTGCGTAACTGAAAGGAAATTTCCTCCTCTAGTATTTTGATAAGGTCAAGACATGTGGTTCAGTCATTAACTCCTATCGCTGGGTAAGCTACACACACGACGCATCATTAATCAATATTGCTGAAGGTCTTAAGATATGCCGGTATAAATGTCATTACTGGCAAGGCAGATCAGAAGAAATTTATTGAATGCCGCATGCTCTAAGCTTAGCAATGAATGAAACATTATTCCTTTAATTATTACCGTTTTTTAAATCATTATTTTATAATACCACTATATAAATGGGTGAAAACCAGAACGGTTTAAGTTACACATTATTAATTCAGAGAAATCTGTTTATTTAAGTCCATATTACTGTAAAGTGGTTCTTTGTTTCATCATTAAAACCACGAAAATACATTGCCATTGAAATGTAAATTAAAATAAACACATTTTCTCAGAATTTATAAAATGTCACTTATATAGTTCTGGTTTTCGCCCACTCATATAACATTCCAATTCTTTTGGGTAAATTGAGATGACGTGAAAGTTGAGACTGACCGAGGAGAACAGGGAAGAAACATTTCGCAGTGGTGTTCAGCGGAAATCTGAGACGCGAGGTGTGACGCCTGTGCATGCAATGACGTAGAAACAGAATCTCGCGTAACTAAACCGGTCATATTTCGTTTGTGCGGAGAAGCCCAGTTCTTGATATAAAAGTAATGTCTCTGTCGTGAAACATTATCAGACCTATTCCGTAATAACAAATTAATAGTAAATTTAAAGAAAACAGTTTCAATGCAGTTTTCAATTTCAAATAAACAGCTCTGTACTCCATTGAAAATAATCGGTGTGCCATTAACTGATGTTAAGGTAAAGAAATTTTTAGGTCTTTCAGTTCAGTCAAACCTTACATGGAACGTCCATTTAAATGAATTGAACATTAAATTAAGTTCTGCCTGCTACTCTTTCTGAATTCTTTCAAATTCAGTCAGCCTCCATACTGCTCATTATGTATATTTTCGAATGTTCATTCCAGCCAGAGATGTGGCACAATATTCTGGGGAAATATATCTTACAGCTCCGAAACTTTAGGTTACAAAAAATAATTATTCGAATAATAAGCAAATCCTACCCACGTGATCCTTGTACGCCCCTCTTTATTAATCTAGGTATCTCACCATTACCTTGTCTCTTAATAATAATAATAATAATAATAATAATAATAATAATAATATATTTTGAGTCACATGTACAATTACAATCGTGTTTGATCACGTATAGAATGTTTTTTGGTTAAAATAACTTACTAAGGGCGGGAATACTTTTCAGCAAACGCTGATATTTATAACTACACACTCGACGTAGTAATCATCAGGTGACAGTATCAACAGCTCATCAAAAAATTCACCACAATATATGTACATTATTTTATAACACCTTGCCAGATGACTTAAACGATTAAATTCGATACAAAGTTAACGTCCCAGTAAAATCTTTTCTGCTGCACAATTGTTTCTATACAATTAGGGACTATACCGAGCATGCAAAAGGAAAGTAATATTAATTTTAACAACATTTACCATTTGGATTGTATAATTCTTAATCTGTAACAAGTATTGTACTTAAGCTTCTGAGTCAATGACCTCCATCTCGATCAGGTTTTTGTCCAGTTTCTCTGATTCTTGAGCAAATGCTGAGATGGTCCCCGTTTTTGAGAAAATGGCGTTTCTGAAAATGCGTAAATTTGAGGTTATTTTTGAGAAAACTTTTGAGCTTGCGATAAATTTTATGACATCATTCAAAGCACATTTACTTATAAATACAATAATTTGAGCAAATTGACTCTAATGTAAATATTGACGTTAAAAGTAAAAATATACTTAAAAAAAAAACAAAAACAAAAAAAACGAAAGAATGCAGCAAAATAGCATTTATGTCATCATCCGTAGTACTTTTAGCACTATCCACAACAAAAGTTTTTGAGAATTTTTTGTTTCTGATATTTTTTAATATTACACATATTTCACGCAATATTGCACGATAAATATTAACATTTTCATAAAAATGCATATGCCATTAATGAAAGAACTAACCACGTTGAGGCCGCCCCACTAAAGCCAAGTGCCAAACGTTTTTTGAAAACAGCATTTGTGATCTTTGCAGACATTCTAACAATTTTTAACTAAAATGTATGAAATATTTCAGCCTACGAATTAATTAAATAAAACCTACGAGAAACCAGTGCTGCTATCTAGGTATTTAAATGCATGGAGAATGAGAATATACAGAGTAAGTAACGTGACGAACTTAATTTTCTGTCTGAAGAAGAATTTGTCGTTTATATTTCTTTATGAGTTTTGTATTTTTATCTCCAAACATCCAAGAACTCAAAACTTAGGAACCAGCAGTTTTTGCATAATACATGGGCACAGATGAGAGTATAGAGTTAATTTCAAATACTATTTTGGAATCCAACCTACCGTTAAGTTGGTGGATGTGTTTGGTTTTTCACAAACGGATGTATTAATGTCAGGTGTTTCTTCCATCGTCATAAGGTTACAATATTTTCGAAGGGAAGAATTTGACAGAAATGGCTTGCCCTCCAGAGAATTCGGAGAAGGATAAAAACGCCGAAAGACGGAAAAGGGTGAATATAAATTATTTTGTTGAACAAGCGTATTGTCATGAATATTTGTGTTTTAATAATCCTAGTTCAATTAATAAACGTTTAACACTTGCGGACTTTTTGTCAACTTATTTATTGGTCTGGATTAACAGATAACTTGTATCAGTTATTGCTAATCTTGCATATTGTCTACACCAATTGTATCGCCTTTATAAAATGTATTTTTTTATGAAAGGTCTTTGTTGGACAACTTCCTTCTGATTTCTTACGAATTTCCGAAACGTCACAACAACAGCAGGAAGCAGCTGATCAACAGACAGCATTAGCTCTGCAACAGCAGTTAGTGGGAATGCAATACACCCAACGAAATGCTGGTCGTCTGAGTATTACTGTAGCTCAGGTAAAAAAATATTGTGTCTTAAGGTGTTTTTTTTTTGTTTTGTTTTTTTATTGTAAGGATTTCATTAATGTTTGATAATCTTTTAGGCAAAATTGGTTAAAAACTATGGCATGACTCGAATGGATCCATATGTGCGTCTTCGTGTTGGACATAATGTGTATGAAACCCATACAGATCCTAGTGGAGGAAAGAATCCTCGATGGAACAAAGTTGTACAGTGGTCAGTTTCTTATTTTGTGCCCTTAAGATCCAAAATCTAGAATATTTGAGTATTTTATTTATTTAAAGCATTATTTTTAACTATATTTATTTTCTTATATTACAAAATATTTATTTTTGACAGCCTTCTTCCCCAAGGTGTAAACACCATTCATGTGGAAATTTTTGATGAATGCTCATTTACAATGGATGAATTAATTGCATGGGCACATATTACCATACCTCCTGCTGTAATGAATGGTGAAACACATGAAGATTGGTTTCCTCTTAATGGAAAACAAGGAGATGGTAAAGAGGGAATGTTAAATTTGGTTTTAAGTTATTCTGTACGTATTTGGAATAGTTAAATGTTACTCACAAAATTTATTAGAGACTATGGTTAATAAATTATGCTTTTATTTTAGAATGTGCCAATTCCTAATGTACATCCATATGGGATGTATCCACCCGTTCCACCTGTAGTAATGGTTCCCAATGCATCTCGAGGCCCAGCGCTTTTGGAGAGTATGTCGTACACTCCTGTTTCTGTATATACAGCACCCCCACCACCTGTTCCCTGTGTAGTGGAACCTCAGCTATCGGAACAGGATCTTAAGCAGGTATACAGTTTTATACTCTTATTTTATTTTGTGGTTAAATTGTGTTTGCTTGTATTGTTGAGTGTTAATATCATTGTGACAAATGGAAATAGAAATATCGCATTACTCTTTTGTATTGCTATTGCTGACAGTCTAGTATTACCTTGTTTTCTTCTAGAGATTGACATTTCTCACAATTACTGTATTTCTCAGTGTTTGGGGAAAAGAAATTCGTGTTATCTTAATTCTTGAATGCAAGGGGATGGGAATAGTGGCGGCGATGGTGTAACGGTTAGCGTATCGATCTGTTAAACCAAAGTTTGCAGGTTCAAACTCAATCAATGCTGTGAATTTTTAAGGGCGAAAAAATCCTTTGTACGTGTTTCTTCAGAGGGGAAGTAAAGCTAGCTGTCCCGTGTTAGTAGGTTTACTGCATGTAAAAGATTATTGAGCCTAAATGAAGCCTCTGAGCTAAATTCACATCTCCTGTTTCATCACCCAAGACCTCCTTTCTCTGTTAGTTGGTGAAAGAAGCGTAGTGAAATTGGCATGGTCACACAGAAGAACAGCCCTTTTGGCCGAAGTCTTGCCATGTAAAATAAGACATCAATTCCATTTAATAAACAGAATTGAGTTCTTAAATGGAATAAGAACTACCCTCCACAGCCATATTTATAAAGTTTAACTTCATTAAACGGAAATTGATTTTTTATACTTTAAACCGAGATTGATTCCTGACTCGATTTCTTTTTTCTTTTCTTTTCTACTTCTTTTTTTCCTGATAACAATGAACAAGTATTTTTTAAAAAATCCATCTAGAGTATAATATTTCTATTTGTAGTGTCTAAATGTTCACCTTAAATATGTCATAATTTCCAGATTCAAGAAATGTTTCCAAATATGGATAAAGAAGTTATCAAGTCAGTATTTGAAGCAAATCGTGGTAACAAAGATGGAACAATAAATTCCCTGTTACAAATGAATGAGTAAAGTATGCCAAAACCCATTAAAATAAGGCTGTAAATTTATTGGTGTCGGTGGGCATGTTATGCAATCAGTAATGTATGCTTATTTTACATCTCTATCATGTGTGTGTATATATTCTTTATACATATATATTAAAACAAGATGTTTGTTCACGAAAATATAACTTATAAGCAAATATCATCTATTTTATGTAATAATATAGTTGTTAAGGGAAAATGTTATTATATACCTGAAGTGATATAATTCATTAGAAAGATGTGCATCTTCAATATTTTCTTGTGATTTTTCCATGTTAATCATTATGTCCACAATTCGGTACTGTTAGAACATTCCATATAGTTATCAACAAAACACTGGATTTTGCAGAGTTATGTGTTTATGTGTATTTATATTAACGTTAATAGACAGAACTGCAGATTTTATAATTGTACAAAGCTGGAAATTATTGGAATATGCAATGAGAAAGTTGAATGTATTGATAAACTGCAGTGTGATATTATAAAGCAGTGTGGTTCATTTTGTTTTTCTGTTTTTGTAAAAACTATACATATATTTACGATTACAAAGTTAACCTGAAAACACTTCTTCATGGTGGGTGGTTACATTATACCCACATTGACTTTTGTCTATGCTTCTTTTAACTCTTATTTGAGTTTGACAATATTTGCCTGAAAAACATCAATTTCTTGTTCTTTTTGGGAGTTGGTGCTCACATGACATAGTGCATCTGATGAACTTCCTTCTGCCCTTGATCTCAGTTCTTTCATATTTAAGCAAGTTTTCACAAGTCTTAAATTGGGCATTCCTTCTTGCTTCTAAAACCTTCATTTGTTTTTCCTTAACTTTTACAGCTTTTTTAAATTTCATATTCAGAAGATTTAAGTCTCTTTTACTTTCTCAAAGTTTGTCACAATTACTCACAAGTTGTCTCTATTCTTCCTGCACTTGCTCTAATTTTAATAGAAGTTCATTTTTCTCCATTTCACAAATTCTTCTCATAGCTTTCTTGTATATTATTTTGTTCAGTTTCTTTAACCTCAGCCTCACATAAAATGCTGACCTCTTTGTCCAGTGCATATTGATGATGTCTCAAAATTGGAACAAATTTTACAAACCAACAGAGTTCTACAAGGAGACCTGCGAGGCACCCTGCTTTTCATATTAATATATGCAAAAATAACAGAAATGGTCTGAAGAAAAAGAGTAAAATAATATGTGTTCACTGACGACGTTGTAATAGGGGCAAACAACATAGTGAACCTTCAGGAAGTCATAAACGACATCTTTTAGTTTTCAGTGATAATTAGGGAGCGGATTTTGATGACCTAAAACATTGCCAAAAATGATAAATAAAATGTTTTAAAAATGTAAGAAAAATGTCATAAAAAATTTGATCAAAACCAGTTCAGATGAACAGCTCAGTTGTTGGATTATATTACTGAGTAATTGAGGCTTCTTACTTTTGTTCAAGTGAAGTCAGCATGCAGACTTTTGATATGGACTGTTCTTTATCAGGAAATCTTTCTTTAATAATCAGCTGACCCGACAGTGGTGTTGATAGGCTTCACAGGAACCTATGGTGGGTTACATGGTTGCAACGACTGACATCACAGTTTCTGAGTGAAGAATTCGAATAGGCTACTGCGTAATTCTGTGGAGAATATTTGTTGCATCTCATAAATATTATTTGTAGCAAGTACCATTAAAATGATATTGAAATCAAATGAATAAGCAAAAAATGCTTCAAAAATGACTGAAAAAGGTAAAAAAAATTACTTATGTGTTGAAATAGAAAAAAATGCCATTTAAAATGTGGGCATTTGCTTTTGTCATAGCATAAAATTAATGTCTGTACTAAAATGCATTCAATTCATTCTGAAATGAAACGAAAGAAAATGACATTTTACCAAATCCGCCCCTAGTGACAATCATCTAGTGCACCAAAATGTTTAATTTCAACTCGTTACTTTCTTAGGCGAGAACTGTGCCATGTGAGGTTTCGTCTTGTTGAAATATTGTTCTATTGCATAGAAAGTAAGAATAAGTCATTCCATTTGAGGATCTTGAGAAGAATAATTTATTTCAAATTATATTAAATTATAATCCATAATAAAAATAATTAAAATCATGATATTTATTTGCATTACTAAATTTCCCCAAATGCTTTTTTGTTTTGCATTAAAAAATTAACATTCATTTCGCATATATCATTGATTTTGCAAGAAAACGGTTATTCTGAGCTTGTATATAATTTATTAATATGGATATTGTTTATCTGCATCATTCAGATTCATTTTAATTTTTTATTTTGTTTATAAATAAAATTATTATTTATTACATGTATTCCTTGCAAATTTGTATTAAGTCCCTTGAGAAATATTTCATTGATTGTTAAATTCTATTCAGGTTTCTTTGAAAATTTCTCAACTTGCACAATATTACTATATATTAAGATGATACAAAAACAAAATTTATTTTATTGTTTGAAATATTTCAGAACTTAATCTAGATAACAAAATTTGCTTTCTATGTAACTCGTTCTGTTACGACAAAATTGTTCATTATAATTTTAATTGTATTAAAGAAATGATATTTTATATACCCATGCTTGATTGCCATATTGACCGCTTAATGCTAGGAATTTGGATAATATTATCTTCTATTGGCACTACATTTTATTGAGAATTTGAGCTGAAGGATAACAGTTTCTCTTTGGTGTTGAAAATGAGTATCAGCCTTGCCATTTACATAATATATGTGTAATAATGAAATAAAAGTGGGCTAGTTAGAGATACTTTGTAATACCATTTCCGGCTTATGAATGTTTGCATTAACATACAGAGGGCTATGGTATTACGTAAGGTTGACTGATTACTTTTGCAACCTTGTTCTATTGCTTGTACTTGTAAACCATGCTAGTCATATGATTCATTATTTTTAATTGATGTAGGAAATAATCTAGATGCACATTCAAAATGAGTGAAAAAGTTTTGGATGTGTTGGTAGCCCAATTCAAAGATATGTTTGAAGTTCTTCGAAATTTGTTTCTATAAAGAAAAAATAAATGGAGTTTGCTTGAACTCTTTAGTCAATGGAGAGCTTTTATAAACAATGTCTAACGACTGAAAAATTTTGAGGGTTAAGAAAGGTAGTATCATTACAACTGTTTTATGATACAACCTTGTATATGTTTATAGGAAGGGACGTTTTGCTGAGTGGATTCAAATAGGAATACTGAAACCCAATGAATATAATTTTCCATGATGCAGATCCAATGTATATATCTATATAATAAAGCTATGTCCCATCGCAAGGGAAATTTGCTATGATTAATTTATAGTTGATTTTGTTTTCCTTTGATAAAATTCTTGAAAATATTTTGTGCTTGAATTAATTCCAGTCTTGTTTGTGCAGTAAAATTGTGATAATGCTTCATAATGTATTCATATTCACTTTATATGTTCAAAGAGTAATTGACTCAAAGAAACATGTTGGAATTATTTACCTTTACAATCAAAGCAAGGAAGCAATTTTCATACTTGCTAGTTACTAAAAAAATGTGTTAATTATCAATTAGGTATTGAATTTTTAATAATTTTTTAATGAATTGTTTTGTGAATGATAATGCCGTAATAAAATGTGATGTTTGGGTTTTATGAATGAATTTCACTTTTATTTCTAAATATTTATGAAAAGAAAATAACTTTTATTTCAATAATATTTATCAAGTAAAATAATGTAAGATTTCACTTTCAATTTGTCCTAGTCTGAAGGTGGATTCTAAAAAAAAAATTGTGATAGGACCAGAGTTTTTTCATGGGGTCCTAACCATATCTTACTCCTCCCTGTTAGTTCCACTAATAATATATGGAATGTAACAAGAGCCTTTTTTATACAAAATATTGTTATAAAATTAAATATTTATGCTTAATTTGTTGCTATTAAACACATTACTAATTAGGTATTCTTAATTCTGTTTTAATAAATATTGAGATCATATATATCCTTTCTGTTTTTGGTTATAACAACCCTATTTGGATATGTAAATTTAGGGTTTAAGAAAATTGATCGGGGTTCATAATACTACTTCTTTCATGTATGTCTCATACAGTATTTCTTCTTCTCTCCACCCCCTTTTATTATATATTTTTTTAATGGATAAATTTGATTGACTTTTAATGCAAGAAGAAGTGCTACTGGAGGTGGATTATTGCATTTGCAAATGGTAAGATACTTTTTCTTCAATAGATATATTTAAGATCGTGAATTCAAGTGCCCTGCAGATTTATAGCATGTGTAATATTGTTTCCTCTCTGTCCTGAGTTTGGCATGAAGTCATTTCTATAAATGCTATATTACAGGTATTTTGCTGTGAAGTTTTTTCTCAAACATACAAATGGAAAGAAAGGTTCATCTTAAATGAAAAAGCCAATTTAATTTGCAAATTCATTTACATTGTGGCAAATAATTGTGATATGTAAATTTAACATATTTTGTTAAGCTGTTCAACAATGGCAAAGGCAAACATTTTGGTAGCAATAAATATATTTTTGTGTTTGTCAACTTACTAAGAAGAACATGAGTATTGTATTAGGAAAATATTAGACTTATCATAAGTAGAAGACCTTTTTGCACCTCTCCAATTGATCTGAAAGACTAATATTTTTAGTTGCATTTGAAAAAAAAAAATGTCATACAACTTGAGTAACAAAATTAACCTTTGTAAAATTTTAAAAATTGAGAGAGTTGAAAGATTAACTAATTGTTTTCATTTTAGAAAAGAATCTCAAATATCAAAATGAGCAATGGCCAGATGAAGTTTTTAGTGTGTTAATTCAGGTTTGTTTATTGTTATAGATGTGTACTATGCATTGTTAATAAAAAGAATAGACCAACACGTGACAAGTGAATGACTTAACAGTTCATTCATATAGATTCACCACTTGCTTCTGTTGTTATTTTGAGAATTTTTTTGAAAAACAGTTCCTGACAAGTGTAATGGAGATGCCTAAAACTATCTTGTCATAAAAATATTGACTCGTTTATAAAATTCCTTTAATAACTTTTTTTTTATGTTGTATGTGTTATGGTATGTGCCAAATCAGATGTATGACTTGAATTTTCTTTGTTATTAGTTCTAATCACATACATCTTACCTCACACTTGTGTATGATACATTAGTAGAATAATTATCGGTTTGTCATGCAAGTTTAGAAAAAATGCAATTGAGGTGTTTTCTTCCAAAACAAATGGCTCCTGTGAAATATTGATTTATAACGTTGTATGTTTATTACTTAATAAAAATATAATGTACATAGTTGTTGTTATCCGAGATGCTTCTAACATATACAGAGTATTAACAGTGTTTTTTAATTGTTAATTTTGGGGTTTTATTTTCCCCAATTTTCTACTTAAAGTTGTGTCAGGTGAGAAGAGGTCAACTTTTCAGAGGTTTACTTTAAGAAAAAAGGATTCCATCACTTTACCTGTTCAGCATTCTTGAATTTGTGTAATAAATCAAAAGGAATAATAACCATGATTTATTTACTAAATGGAATATATTCATTGTAATAAACAGAAAGTGAAATTACTGAGTTTAATTAGGTTTTAAACTAATTATTACAGTATTTAATAACATTGGATATTCAATTTCAAATTTTATTTATTTACAATACAGCAGAGATTGTTAATTCTGATAGTGTGTGCGATTATGATCTAGTCACAGTTTGCAAATATGCAAGTGTAGCTCTTTATAAACTCGTCCACTAAAATATTTGGGTACAACTGATGAAATAAATAATTATGCTTTATGTGGAAACGTTCTGTGTTCATGTACCACCTAAGATGAGAGCAAACGTGTAACTCAACCATTACATTGCACACGTAACTGACTCTGCATTTGCTGATATAACACACTGACTCTGCAGTGCTGTTGCAGGCAGAGGTCAAAACAGACAAAAATATGAGTTCTGTAGGAATGCTATGCATCTATCATTAACAAGTGACAATAGTAATCATTAGAATCCAGAAAAATTTGTAGTATGAAATGGCAAAAAGTTGTAATGAAAATTATAAGTATATGTAACAAACGTGTAAAAAAGGGATAAAATATAATATCAAAATACTCTTATTTATAGAACATTTGCAAACAAAATAAATTTAAACAATTTCAAATTACATTAATAAACTACAAATTAAGCCAATTTTAAAAATAAATGTTGCTTGTCCTACTAAATGTTTCTTTAAACAATACATTGTTATGTTTGAGTGCCATCGTACAAATGTGGGAACTCAATGACAGGCAAACGATAACTGAAGCATTGTCATTGAATACAGGTCTGCGACAGCCAGTATCTCATAAATTTGAGTCAAGAAACATGACGTCATTGATACTCTCCACACCTAAAGGGAGATAATATTCTTAGCACTCTTGCGCTCTTTTTCCCCAACATATATGGAGTGGAGACACACGCAAATCAGACTCGAACTGTGTGCATCTAACCGCACCTTCACATTGAGCACCTCGCATTGGCAACCCACAATCTGAGTGTAAGGAAAAGAATACAGATTTTTAAAGTAAAATTTATTCTTTAGAAGTCCTAAAATATTTATTGAGAAATAAATTTTAAGAAATTTGGTAGAATAATAAGAATTTTGCAAAACGTGTAAAATATATAATATAGTATAAAATATGTAAAATTATGCAATGAAAAATATACATATTGTGTTAGGGTTTCCCTGATTTGCCTAGAAGCCACAATTTTCACAACTGAAAATAGAAAGCCAAAAAAAAATGTAATTACATAAAAATTCAGTTTCTAGTAATCATTGTATGAGGAATAAAAAATTGAATTCCTGAAACACTATGATATTGCAGGCCTAGAGTATTTGAAATTGTATCCTGAAGACTTTTTGTGGTGTTCCAATAGCATCTGCATAACTGATGATACCTTTATTTTCCCATTTCCCTCCCTGTTTTTATTTATGTTTAACAAAATCTGAAATGGTGTCACATGGTTAATTATTTTTGTTTTACATACATTTTGTTTTCATCCGTAAGATAAATTTTGTTGTTTTCATTAACAATTTCATTGTGTCTTACTAAATTACTGTTATTTTTTTGTAGTTCTGATGAGGTTTGCAAATCAGCAGGCATATGTTCGTGATTTAATCTCCCATTTTGTCATACTGAAATAAGAGATATAAAGATAACCGATGTAAGTCCCACTTCTACACGTAAGAGTGGATTTTTGTCATGATGGCCTTTAGGTATCTTCATAGGAAAATTAAATTATTTCATCTAATCTAAGTTTCTTCTTTAGATGTTGAACAGTAAGTTGATTTATTCATTCAGTTCATTCAGTTATTCATTCGTCACTAGGGATTCAAAACATGTAATTTTGACAAGAAATAATATTGATTAATTTTGATAGTATATGTGGAGAATTCACCTTTTATGCATATTTTAGCCAGTAAATCATGATTGTTTGGACATTGCAGATGTTATACTTACTTTACTTACTAAAATTACAGGGTCAAGGTATAAAAGGTTGAAGGGAGCCTTTAAAGCATATGAAGAACATCAAAGCTGCCTCAATACTTTTACTTTTTATTTTTTCCTTCAGATGAAACACATTTCATTTGTTTTGTCAAGTGATTTGTAGATCTAGTGTTGCTTCCACACACCCTAAATTTTCTTTTGCTCCATTTTGTACTTGCACTTTAACTTTATAGGAGCCTGACATTAAGGATGAAAGAGGGATGTTCGGCAATGGAAATACACCATCGTTGATGATGTATGAGCCCTGGAATCATTGTATTATTTCAATCACTGTCATTGGAATACATTGTACGTATATAGAACTATGTTCTTCTTTAAATGATTTGTTGCAGGTACAGATGGAGTGGAGAGGCATGTAACAATCACTCACAAGAATGGAAAATTATAAATACTTCATAATAAATCATAATACAATGCCTTTTAACTTATTTGTTTTGCCTTCAAATGCTGCTTGAAATACCACAGGAAGTGTTTATTTAATATTAATTTTAACAACTGATTAGTGTATAGAATGGCTGAAAACAATACGTGGTGAAGACAGTGGTGGTACTTTAGGCGTTGGGGTCGCTTTTGCTTTGAGAACATTATTTTAGAAGTGACACCGATGAAAATTATAAAATCTTGTATTTCATTGCAGTAGCCCTCGTGCGCGTCTTTCTGTAGGAGGAAAGATTGCTATGAAGAATGCGTGAACTTCTAATGAAACGTGCAAAAAATTAGATTACACGTTTTGACTTGCATTGGCAACTGAGAGGAAGATCTACCGGTTCGATTTACCGT